GTCATATATCAACTTACATTTAATCAGAAAGGGAAAAGAACTTTGGGAAGTGCATTATCGTCCTTCTGGCCTTCTTAACTTCATAGTTACTGTAACCTTCTTTCTTCTTGTTAGAATGTTTGGTGTGGCTTGGCGAGAATATTGACTTTGTTCTTTCCTTCTTCAGGTTGAGTCCACAAATGCAACCGATGAGTCAATATTGAAGGTTGCACTAGACCATGGGAAAACAGCTGGTGTTATAAGGCCGCATGACCGAGTTGTTGTTTTCCAGAAAGTTGGCGACTATCTGTGGTGAAGATCATTGAGCTTGAAAATTAGGCTAGTACATCTTTGTATGTTTCACTTGGCTGTTCAACATCAGAGCACTCTCAAGTTAACAGAATGCATGTAAACCATCCAATGGAGCTATAAAACCAGGTTGATCCATGTCTGTAATAATTGCTCTTGATAGATGTAAATCCTCTGTAAGTAATGCTTACTAGTTTATGTTGTAATAACAAACTCTTCATAGGAAGATTGTCAAACATTTGGTCAAGGAGAAAGTGAAATCATCAAGAATTCAAGGTTACTTAAAGAATAAACCTTCTATTAGTGAAGTCATATAGCTTGAGGGGTTGTTTAGTTGGGAACAAGTTATCCGGGATTAATTATCTTGGGATAAGCACCAGGTATATAGGATAACTTATACCATCACTAAGGGATCGTTTGATGTGATGGATAAGAGAAAGTTATCCTGGGATAAAAATTTAGTGTCTCTTAATCCGTTGTTTGGTTGGACAGGATGGGATAACTTATTCCAGGATTAACAAATAGTACTAGGATAAGTTATCCCTCTCTGAAGGTGGAATAGTAATACCAGAATAACTTATCATGGGATAAAGTATGTAAATTAGCAAAATTACCCCTTAAACTCTCTTTTATACACCACTAATACATTCATGTATATTAATATAATTTTAAACAACTATAATAACATTCACAAACTTACTTAATCATTGTTTTTCTCATAATATATTTTCTATTAAAAAATTACATCTTATAAATACAATTTTTATTTATGAATACATTATAAGTTGATTTTTTTGCCTAATTTTATATTTATTTATATTTTTGATTTCTCTTAAAATATTCACTCCACTACTAAATTACATATTTTGAATTACATAGTTTATTACTCACTTAAAAATTATATTCTATGTATCCATTAAAATGTAGATAACTTTAATAATTAAATTTCTTTTACTTTGATAAACTTAAAATGCAAGTTTTATTTTTAAGCTAAATAAGATGAAGTTTAATTTTTAAGCTAAGTAAGATGAAACTTATTTGAGGAAGAACATGCGACTCATTTGAGGGTTTTCCTGCAAACTCTCAAAGATCGCCAATTATTCGCTAAGTGTAGAGAATGTGAGTTTTGGTTGCAATCAGTTGCTTTTCTTGGTCATATATATAGTATCTAGCGAAGGGATCCGAGTGGATTCTTAGAAAATAGAGGTAGTGAAACAATGGCCCAGACCTATCTCTCCTACAGATATCAAAAGCTTCTTGGGTTTTGCTGGTTATTACAGAAGGTTCGTGGAAGGATTCTCATCCATAGCTTCTCCATTGACTAAGTTGACTCAGAAAAATGTTAAGTTTCAGTGGTTAGATGATTGTGAGAAGAGTTTCTTAGAACTGCAAACTAGATTGACTACAATTCCTGATTTGACTCTACCAGAGAGTTCAGACGGTTATGTGATCTATTGTGATGCATCCAGAGTCGGCCTAGGTTGTGTGTTGATGTAACGAGGTAAGGTTATAGCTTATGCTTCTAGACAGCTTAAGTTGCATGAGAAGAACTATCTGACTCATGACCTTGAGCTCGCAGCCCTAGTATTTGTCGTAAAGATTTAGAGACATTACTTGTATGGTGTGCACGTGGATGTGTTCACAGACCACAAGAGCCTTCAGTATGCGTTCACCCAGAAAGAGTTGAATCTTTGCCAGAGGAGATGACTTGAATTCCTCAAAGACTATGATATGAATGTGCTTTACCTTCTTGGCAAAGCTAATGTGGTGCTGATGCTCTTAGCAGTCTATCTATGGGTAGTGTAGCACATGTTATGGAAGAAAGGAAGGAATTAGCGAAGGATGTTCACCGACTTGCTCGCTTAGGAGTTTGCCTTATGAGCATATGAATATGACCAGAAAGGAAATCAAGAAAAGAAGAAAGAAATGATATATCAAAGATGAGAAAATGGATCTTAATTTATACGAGATATTTGACAATAACATACTTTAGTAAGAAGATCAGATATGAGATTTGCAAGTTCATTTCCCTTTCTAGGTGACTTTAAATAGGAAAACCTTAGGTGAGGGGAGATGAAAGGAAAAAATAAAAGAGGTCCATCAGTTTCCTACTTAATTATGTAACCTTTGATTTTCACCTTTAATTCATTGAACAATATAATTAGGTGTCTTTTTGTCTTCTTGATAATAATTACTTATAACAATGTAATATTAATTCATGAATAAATTGTAACCGAAAGAATTTTGATAAATTTGATATTGGCTTAATGTGTAACTCTCCCTTGTAGTAACTAAAATTTACTATTTAATATTTAATTAACAATATATTAGATGATTAATAGTATTTATATTTGATATAGCGACAAAATGGTAAACTAATATGCTGATTGTATCAGGACATGCCTTTGATCTCTATCACTCTGTATCTAACTGACTGATATATATGCTGATTGTTTTTACTGGACCACCTGCAGTCATGAGCTGGATGCCATATTTGTCTGCAGTGTTAATGAAGCTGAAGTGAAGCTAAAGCCATGAATTTCTGCCTAATCCTACGACATAAAAACTAGTCCTTTCTGGTTGTAATTATCATATATTGAAAACAAATGACTTTAGCTAAGTTCATATGAATTCCAGGACTTCATTATAGAGAAACTTAGCAATTGTTCCTTTTTTTTACGATACCTTTTAGCTAGTGTGTTTTGAATACTCCTAATCTCTTTCATTCATGTAAATTCATATTCAGTTACCATCAAAGTTTTGCACTTCTTTTTCATAATGTGAAACTGCCAAGAGTCAAATGCCGGACTATATATGTATATTATTGTATACGTGGTCGCAACCGGCCTTATGGTTCTAATTTATGTAGTGTTAAGTTTGCTGTTTTTTCTTACCTATCCTGAGGATCCGTTCAAGCTGTCAAGGTTGGTGCAATATTATCCAAATTTTCTTTGCTTCCTTTGTTTGTAAATGTTCAACACAACATTCTGAAAGTTGTATTGATTTCTAATGGTATGGTTGCTAAATACTACCTAACTATTTTCTTAAGCTAGGTGGACTTTTGATAGCAAGTATTTCAGCTCAAAGTCTTGATTTTTGGATAAAAGGTCCTTAGAAAATCTTGTGTTAAGATTTGTTATGCAGAACAGTCGTTTATCCTTCTCTATGTATGTTTTCGGTCCGTGCTTATTTTGTAATTAGTTTTTCGACACGTGCGATTACAATTAAGAAAATATATCTTATAATAGTATTGCTTTTTAAGCGAAAATTTGAATAATTTGCCTTGCACAAAATAATATTGCAGATTCTTTTGTGAATGTTCAATGTGGATCATCATATATATCTCTTATTCACTCACGCTAAGCTATGGAGATGGTCAATGATAAAATTTTCAAGTTAAATGTAATAATGTATATATTTATTTCAATTTGATGAGGTTCAATCACGCAATTAGTCGTATCTCACTAATATTACCTTATAGACGATATTTGTTGTGTATTTTTCTTGTCATTTATCAGTATTTCGTACATATTTTCAAGACGCAGAAGTGTAGGAAATGGTGTTTATTATAAGAGTTTCCGGGCAATATCCTAATTTTAGTGTGAGTTTTTAAGTTATCAAATGGTGTTTTTAGTTGTGTTGGTAGCATTGTCGAAAAGTTTTTATACTTTCTGGTAATGTTAGTTTTTCCGTTTGAATCTATTTTAGCTCAACTTGTTGAGTAAATAATAGTGTCCTTTTAACAACTTATATTTTTAGATGATATGATTATACACATGTTTTGGTAATACGTCCAATGAAATTGGAATGATCATAGAAGATTGATAGCAATAATACTGATAAGGGAATAAGATGATTAGTTACTAACTTTCTATCCTTATTCTCGACCGTCATATTTTTCTATTTGAAGTTATGTCTTCGATAAGTTATAGAGTTATGTTTTGTCTAATCACCTACTTCGAGACAAAAGAAGTTATGTCTTCGATAAGTTATAGAGTTATGTCTTGTCTAATCACCTAGTTCGAGACATCTTTAGTGAGTAAAACATTAGTCATACATCTATGCAATCCTTATTGCCTGTAAGTCTATTGTTTCCAAATTTTTCATTATTTAAGCAACAATAAAGGGTAAAAAACGTCTTAAATTATGTGGAATTGAATAAAATTGTCCCAAGTTAATAATTAAGTCCAAAAATATCACTGCAGTTAATAATTTAGACCAAAAGTATATTTATGGGAGTCTTATTTCATAATGTTATTCCCCTTTAATTTACTTTTTATCTCCAATAAAGAACAAAATACAAGTGGTATTGAGATTTTGTACCCAACTATGTATCTTTAGTTTAATACTATAAGATTCAAAAGTTTTCTCCATTTTTAAAAACTTGCTACCAAGTCAAAATCACATAAATCAATTAAAACAAAGGGAATGATATATTTTATAATAATTCCTAAGATATTATTTATTTATACAGTAAATGAATTTTAAATTATAATTTAAAAGTTATTTCATTAACGACAAGCAAAACTCATTTATTATTATTATTACCCTTATTTAGAAATGACACTTCTAAAGGACGAACAGTGCATCATGTTATTGTACCCAAGGAAATAGTACTTGTACTAGCAATTTCCCACAATCACGTCACGACGTGTATGCACCTTTTCTAGACATGTGTTTTTGTCTTTTTACTAGCTAATGTGGGATACAACTGTTATCACCTCATTTTTCATTTACATTGGACCCATCTGCTAATACGTGTACTTTTGTAAGCAAATCACGTGTACTGAATTCTGGTCATCTTTTCCATCCCATTTATTAATAAAAAAGTACTTTGTACTGACGGACCTAATTGTGCATCTTCATCTTCACAGAAGGCCTTGGATGTCCGGTGAAACTTTAGTCATTCTTCCACCTTCTTCTTTCAATCGTTGATGTTTAGGTTTTTTTCCACTATCCTCATAAGTTTTGTCTCGAAAATTTAAGTGGTACTTTGATTTTATTTTTCGTTTTGATTTTAGGTCTTATTTTGTCCACTTATTATTCGAATGGTTTGATTTTTCATTCAATTTGTTGATCTATTCGGTTTCTGTGTTGTAGTTATGTTTCATGCACTGAATTTAGATTTAATTTGATGTTGTTTTGATCCTTCGTATTTTGCAGGGATGAAGCGTAGGAACTTCATATTCAAAATATCTTCCCAATTTCTCCATTTCTCATAGGGTAAGTTGCTGATTTCTTGGTCTACGATTTCAATATTGGAAAACAAATTACACTCTTAAACTGTGTTTCATCTTCTGTAATTTGATTGTAAGAGTTTGTTTTACTTTTTCCTTAGCATAACATTATACTTGCTCATATCCGACTCTGTCCATAATCAAATTATGTGTACTATCCATAATTCTATTACAATCTTTTTTGCTTTTGTGGCTCTCAATTTCATCAGGTTTTTTTCTGTATCAAACATTTTAGAAGTTACTACATTTCTCTATCTTGGTGTTTATCTTAGCTCTTTGTATTGGTGAGACTGTACTCTCATTGTTTATAATAACCCAAAAAAAAAATTGGGTTGCTTCTTCCTCTGTTGTAAGTTTGTATACATCTCAATTAATTTTCGATGTTCTCAAAAATGTATAAACTCACTAATGGAGCATGTCTCTAATGGTGAACATTTTGGCTGCTCCTTTTTTAAATGTTGATGCACCTAAGGTGTTCGATAGTATGACAAAGCACTACACTATTTCAAATTTTCTTCTTTTTCTCATCAGGTTTACTGTAACATACTCCTCTACCAATCATCAATCTGAATGTTACATTACTTAGTTTTATTGGACAAGATTAGAGAGCAATATGTGTGTTATTTATGGTTATGTCCAAAAAGTTCACTTGAGATGTGTATACTTTGTATGAATGTAGTTCAACTACAGTTTGATATTGTTTGTCTTGACTTTGTGTCCAGCAAAAAAGTAGAATATAATGTGACTTTTAGAAAAAAAAAATTGTGACTATTACTTTAACAAATTGAGAACTACTTGCAACAGGAATGTTGACAAAAAAATTGAGAGTGTTGCATGCCTTGAAGGAAGGTCACAGGTTCTATCCTTTTTGCTAAAAAGTTTGGTTCCCACTGTTTGGGTTAGTTTCTGAACTATCTTCATGACTTCTCCCTGTTTTTCTCACTTTTTCAAAGTGTCAAATATCCTGTTGACGGATATCTGATGGTAGTTTATGGCTTGAGAGCCCTAAGACTTTTAATTGGTCTCTCTAATTTCACTAATGTAATCGCTAGATAGTAATTTACAACAATGAATATACACTTCAATCATCTTAAAAGTCTTAAACAATTACCTGAACAAGTTGGTAATTTGTTTTAAACACAAAAACTATAATTAATGTTGATAATAGGGATGATCGAAACAGTATATTAGATACCATATATTCTAACTTAAAAGGTCACAGTTGATTCGCTATTACAAGGTATTCAATAGTGTTTGTCTTAGCTGAAAATACATCTATTTACTTGTAACAATAGCTCACGTTTTCTGTCTCGCTGTTTATATAATACTCCCCCTGTTTCAATTTGTTTGTCCTATTTTGACTTGACATGAAGTTTAAAAAATATAAAAGAATTTTGAGTCTTGTGGTCTTAAATTAAAAGTTATGTCAAATGGACCAAAATGTCATCTAATCTTGTGTTTTTAAACATTTCATGTAAAAAATTGAAATTGAAGAGTTGCTTAAAAAAGGAAAGAGACATTCTTTTTGGGACTAAAAGGAAAGTAAGACAAATAAATTCTACCGGATGGAGCAATTCTTCTTTGTAAGTATCACTTATGTATTAATAACTGTTATGTTATTTATTTGATGGTAAAGAGGCATGAAGCATAAGGGAGATTTCATAAAGTTACTCTAATTTAGAGAGGAATCGTAACTTTAGTTATTTTGTTACCAATAGGCTTACAGATTGAACAAAAGAATTTATAAAATGATGATGATGATAGTCGAGATAATATTTTTTGGATATCTGAGTGCTTTTTATGGAAGAGGAAGAAATTATTGTGAAAAAATTTTACATTGGATATCTGAGTGCTTTTTATGGAAGAGGAAGAAATTATTGTGATAAAATTTGACATCTTATTTCTAATATATAGAGACGTGGTAACACAAAAAGAGGAAAAAAATATAACTCTTTGAAAAGCTTGAATCTTTAAGCATACTCTTGGCAACTTTTCTAACTGATTCAATTAACTCTTGAAATGTTCCAATTGTTAAAAAAATAAATAAGGGAAGAAAAGGTCAAAAATTTACTATTATTTAAGTCCGGAATTGTTGTGTAAGATCGGTGAGTGGGCTTCCATGTTGTTTGTCCTCTGTGGAAGTTCTACCCTCAAGTTTCCACGTTAGGTTCATGTTCCCTAGAATAGAAACTAGAAAGACATAATTGGATATAGTTGGTCATTTTTGTATTCTATGGTGATACAAAGCTTACATTTTAATCTGCTTTTTATTCATCTTGATTCAGTATTTTCACATTGACAGGTGATATGATATGCTCTGCTTTTATTTCTACAAAATCATTCATCCATAATTGCATTTAAGGTCATTTGAATTTTCGTGGAGTTGATGTGAAAAATGTAGCAATAACATAGAGGAAAGAACATGCTGATGAAAACACCTCTGCAGTATGAGCTTAGTTTTCTTAAGAATCTCCCCGATACATTTGTGTTTTCTAAGACATTTATAATATTTCGTTTGAAGCTTTCTTTGGCAATGCCAACATAAATCGCCTTGGATTCCTTCGATTATTTGATGTATGTTTCTCCCTATCTCTTCTCAAATAGGATACCTTTTATCACATGTTTCTAACAATATATTAGCTACAAGTTACATGTCTTTTAAATAGACAAATATTTTTATCTAGCCTAACCGATGTTTTAACAACATGATGAAATTTTTATAAAGTTATATTCAATCTTCATTTGAGAGTATTTTTTTCTAGCAATATCTCAAAATCTTTTTAGCTTCTCAACAATACAGTACATTATAACTGGTGATGTCACCTAAGGCACATGAAAAGAGAGCAGTTTGATTGCTACACTCTTTACTGGTAAGTTTGATACTTGAGTTCTGTAGGAGTGATGAAACAACTTACTTATGTTATATTTCGGCTCCTCCATTTCATGTGCTAATTTACATGCAACCTATACTATAGTTAACCTAATTCAACTCCTTTTAAGCTACAATAAGAAGTTCTGCCATGAGTATACTTTACGATTTTCATTTTGTTTGGTGCTTATTTTGTGCTCTTTGTATAGAACATAGCTATTTGTGTAGTTTATATGTTCTAGGACCAAAGAGTCAAAGTTACACTTCTGAAGTTTATACGTTATAGGTTGGTGATAGGGTAAGAAATAATAGTACATGAATGATTATGAGATGACGGAAGCAAAAATTAATAATATGATACATGATATGTGTAATGTTTTATGATTTTGTAACTTATATTGATTGTTTCTCTTAGCTTTGCTTTTATAGGAATTCCTCTGTTGTGTTATTATCAAGTCATGATATATGATTCATTTATCACATTACGACAAATTGAATTTATTAACTAGGACAGAGAATGCAACCGACTCTTCTCGACATCTGTCACTTCACTAGATATTAGACACCAGATGAGAAATTCAAGAACAATGGACATCTCTATGTTTCCTTTTGAGAGTGATTGCGTCACCTCACTTTAGTTTCATGTTTTTTCGTTAGAGAAGATCCAATTATTACCAAATCAAAATCGAATTTATATGAGCAAAAGGTGTTTGCCTTTGTAGTTTTGCTGCAATTGTGAGTGCTACTTTCATTTATCAATTTCCACTTTTCGTTTAAGATATGGAACAGTGGAAGTATTTCTGTTGAATCTGATTGGATAAGTTCAATTTTAATAGGTACTACTTATGTAATTTTGTTTTGGATATGTGGAATGCCTATTATTACCTACGAAGACATTCTAACTTAAGTACTTATTCAATGTACTTTTACATTAGTGTAGTAGTGGTGGCTTTATGTTTTCCTTTTCAACTTTACCCTGTGTTACAAAGCATCCATCACATTAAAATGTTAAATGTTGGACCCGTGCTCAGCACTACAAATTGTACAAAATATAATGTGAGTGGTACTTTTACTTGGACTATTGTTTACACGTGTGCACTACCCATAATCAAACCCTCTCCTCTTTCAGTGACATGTGGATTCCACCTTCGCTGCTTAATTAATTTCTACTATCTTTCATACCCATTTCTTCCTTCTTTCAGTCTTCACATTGGAAGAGACAGTAATGTCCACAACATTGTTTCGTCTTTCACGGCTCTGGTCAAAATAGAATAATAAGGTTGGTGTTCAAAATTTAATCGATAAACTGGGACACCAAAGCGCCGCTAAAAAACGGTCATCGTGGAGTCTCCGTTGGTCAAAGACAGCCGCGAGTTTCAATCAAAATTGGTATCATTCTTGAATAATATGCCACCATCTTCAAGCTACAGCCGCGAGTTTCAATCAAAATTGGTATCATTCTTGAATAATATGCCACCATCTTCAAGCTACAGCCGCGAGTTTCAATCAAAATTGGTATCATTCTTGAATAATATGCCACCATCTTCAAGCTACAGCCGCGAGTTTCAATCAAAATTGGTATCATTCTTGAATAATATGCCACCATCTTCAAGCTACAGCCGCGAGTTTCAATCAAAATTGGTATCATTCTTGAATAATATGCCACCATCTTCAAGCTACAGCCGCGAGTTTCAATCAAAATTGGTATCATTCTTGAATAATATGCCACCATCTTCAAGCTACAGCCGCGAGTTTCAATCAAAATTGGTATCATTCTTGAATAATATGCCACCATCTTCAAGCTACAGCCGCGAGTTTCAATCAAAATTGGTATCATTCTTGAATAATATGCCACCATCTTCAAGCTACAGCCGCGAGTTTCAATCAAAATTGGTATCATTCTTGAATAATATGCCACCATCTTCAAGCTACAGCCGCGAGTTTCAATCAAAATTGGTATCATTCTTGAATAATATGCCACCATCTTCAAGCTACAGCCGCGAGTTTCAATCAAAATTGGTATCATTCTTGAATAATATGCCACCATCTTCAAGCTACAGCCGCGAGTTTCAATCAAAATTGGTATCATTCTTGAATAATATGCCACCATCTTCAAGCTACAGCCGCGAGTTTCAATCAAAATTGGTATCATTCTTGAATAATATGCCACCATCTTCAAGCTACAGCCGCAAGTTTCAATCAAAATTAGTATCATTCTTGAATAATATGCCACCATCTTCAAGGTATATATATATTGCTTTGTCTTTTGGATATCTGTTAATTTATTTGTACTATTAAGTTTTTTTGGGTGGGTTTCCACTTATTCCATATGCATGCAGATGATTTTATCCTAATTTTCTGATACATTCTTCAAATTGCAATAGAGAAATTACAAAAAAGGGATAAACATGCATGGTACTTTGTAAATGTATCGAAAACAAATCAAATTGTTCTTAAAGTTGATGGATTTGGGGGTAAATTGGTACAAGATTATTTCCTTAGAAACACATTTACTACTCTATTATCATTACTCACACATGTACTACTTTATTCTTCATTAAAAAAAGTGTACCATATTTTATCAGGTAAGCAAAAATAATTGATCTCTATGGTAATTTTTTGGAGGATTAGAAATAATTCCCGATCATCACCAATTCAGAGTGAGAGCTAAGATAACATGAATTTTGTAGCACCGTATTTGTCCATTTTCACCCATTCCGTAAGTCTTTTATGGTCAATTTCGTCATTTTGTTTAGTATTTTTTTTTCCTTACGGCGCAAGAAAAGTGTATGCTGAGGTTGAAGAGGAAGCGCCGAAAGATGAGATAGAGATTGAAGTAGAAGCACATTCTGCAGTTCTCAACGGTATATCTTTGCTTATCGTATTCTTTAAGCTTATGTTGTTTAAGTTTTAGTTTGAAAATTTCATTAACATTTGAGTTTTGATTTTGTTCTAATCGCACCGAATTCCAATTTTGGTATCCAATTTTGGCTATATATGAATTTATGCTTCTTATTATTCGTATATTTTGTCATTCCTCTTTATAATGTACTTTGCTTTGAATTGTTTGCATTTATATATTTGTGAAAATATGTTTTATTTGAGCTTAAGCCTCTTTTGGAAACTCGCTCATGAGTTATTTATATTATAGTATTATTTATGTTATTCATTTTAGTTCTTTATATCATGTGCCAATCTTTTGTCCGCTTTGGACTAGATTGTTTGTCCAATTAAGAGTTAAATTGATCGCTGTTTGATCATTTTCGAAATGCACACATTGCTTAGGTTGTTTGATAAAAAAAAAAAAAACTTGGTGCATCAACATGCTTTATGCTGATACTGTACGGTCCATTTTAGATGGCAATTTAAATTTGCTTCCATGCCACAATGAAAACTTGTTTGAAGTTCCTATTAGAGATGCTACAAAACTTGGATATTATTTGAAGTTTGAACTGAAATTTTAGTGAAGTCCAGTTTTTTACCAGAGGCATTTTCATGCTAAGTGAGTTTGAAACGTGTTTTTGTGGTTTGGGTGACACGCAACTTAATTTCTAAACCTGTTCTGATGTGGTTTAATTTGTAAGTTCAAGTAGCAGACATGCTTAAATGGAGCAATATGGCCAGTGAGCATCTATGTAGTTAACCTTGAACTTGCTTGTGAGAAGACTGGGGTGTAATACGTAGTAGTTGAATTATAAATTCAAGAAATATTTTGCAACTGGACCTTAGTTTGCTTTTAATCAAGATGGGAATATGAGATCTCTTCGGCAATGAATGGACATATAGTTATGTGTAGCGAATGTAATATTGTTTTGTATAAGATGACATGACATTGTTGTTCTAGATTAACATGTAGTTGTGTGCTATGAGATGGCCTAGAGCTAGACGGGTGAAAGTTTGATCGTTTTTCTTGTGGAAACATGGATATTATACCCTTTGCCTTTGGTACTGTAATGGGAGGGCTTAGAAAGTTCACTTTGCCCTTCAATTTACAGCACAAGAGCTATTTTTTATGGCCTCATGTGATCATTTTATCTATAGAGTAATAAAAAGTTATATTCTATGGGTTTTGCATTTGAAGTGGCTGTTGCATTGTATTATGTCTGTGTATTCCCAAGCAAACAAATCAAGTTTGTCCTATTTTTTTTAGTTAATTCTTTGTTTCTATTTTTATTGGCTCAGTTCATGTCTCGAAGTTACCCCTAACACTTTGGTGTAGTTGCAAAAGAGCGCAACATATGTAATGTGTGAGTTAAGTGCGTGTCATGACTTTAGACCCTAATGTGAATAAAAGCTGGGTATTTAAGTGAAGGGTAGATAGAGAAGCACACTCATTATTGATCGGCAAAAAATATTTGCAATGTTTCTATTCTTATGCTGTCCCAATCTCTGTCTCTCTCTCATTCTCCATGATTCAGGTTCAGGAGTGTGTCGAGAAGGATGATTTGAGGTGGTGAAATTTCACATTTGACAACTTTGGAGATAATTTTTGTTCAGATCATACATTTCTGGCCTTTTCCTTCAAGTTTTTGGGTTTATTTGTTTTTTCCCTTGAGGTACTGTTTTAATTTACTTTTAATGTATTTTTTGTTTAGAAATTTTCATGCAAGTTGGAGAAAGTATCTTGAAGGTGAGTGGTTCCTTGCAAGAGACTATTGGAGTGTAATTGGGGGCTCAAAAATCAAAATCAGAATACCAAATTATGTTTTCCGGTGAATTACAGAGAAACACTTCCGTCAGTATAAAAAAAAAAATTAAAAATCAGAATACCAAATTATGTTTTCTGGTGAATTACAGAGAAACACTTCCGTCAGTATAAAAAAAGAATTTTTGTCTGAGGTAATTGGATATAAGAAGTTAGTTACTGCCATATAAATCTCTTTTGTTTTTATTTTCTGAACTTTTGTATTAATATGACCTTTATTTTTCTATGATTATTCAGTGTTTTTGTTACATTTATATTTTCTTAGTTTGCCCGTGGATTAATATGTTTGAAAGATTAAACTGTTTAAGTTCTTATTTTGGTACATGTAAAGGTAAGTTTGTATGATGATACTTAGAAATCAATAAAATTAGATAATTGATGTAAATGTTGAACTTTGTTTATGATGGCAGGTTTTTATCTTTCCATTGTGAAAATGATGAATAACTAACCATAGAGATCTTTTGAGTACAATTCTCCTTTAAGATTCACAACATTAGAGTGATATTTAAGAACATACAAAAATGAAATCTGGAAAACAAGGGAAGTTTCATTCAATTGTAATTCTAAGATCCTTCATTCTGTCATATGTGTTCTAATTATATCATTTTCTTCTCTTGATTTCAAACTCTTGCTTTTCACTCATTTAATGTGATTTGTCTTTCTATAGCATATGCTTTCACCAAGAAAAATACGGAACTAAGTGTAGTTAATTAGATTACTAAACGTTTCCACAGTCTCTTAAATCAGTGCAACTTGAAAAACATATTGGTTCTGGTGCAAAATCCCAGCCTAAGGCTAACAACTAGAAACAGTGAATGGTGCCTAGCCTTATATAATGAATGTATCATTATCTTAGTTCCCTTTAACTTTGTGTTATGATCATACCAAGATAGAATCTCTTCATTGTCTCCATTATTGATCTTAAACGTTGAAATTGAGACTCGAGACTATTCATTTGTTAATTTTTTTCCTGAAATAAGGAATATTTGTGCAATAGGTGAAATCACTCTAATTTCTGCTTTATGACTTGCTAATTTCAGTTTATTTAGTTGAATGTGATTCACTTGCTTTTTGAAGGTACCCTGAACCCTCTCCATATATTGTTTGTTTGAAATGGAAAAGGTTGGGCTTGGGACTATAACTCCTTGTCAGCTGGAACAATGAATTTAGGTGTACTTGTGATGTCTCCTTCGATACAAATATTTGTTTTGGTTATACTTTCTCTAAAAGTATTTAAATATGAATAGTTCTAATAGACAATGTATTTAGGTATTCTGCACATATTATAGATTGAAGTATCTATTGAGCATATTGATGGCTAAATAAATAGAGATGATATTTAAGGATTGTTTGGTAAAAGGTATTAGAGAAAATAGTGCATGTATTAGCTTTGGTACTATTTAATACTTTGTATGGTAGTGTTTGTTTGATATCACATTGTGCAGATCCTAAATAAAGAATCATTCCCTTTACAAATGTACTTCAGTTTCTATATTCAGAGAGTCGATCAATAATGAAACCACCTTTGGCACAAATTTGATTACTTTCAAGATGAAAAGGAGATAAGAGTGTTGCAAGTTAATTTGCCCATCATATGACATGGACTTGAGACTAAAATTGCTTCCTCTATCTGCTGTAACAATAATTTCATGGAGAAGATCATTTTTGTTCTCTTTAATGTGGTATTAGTTGCTAATTAAACCTTTGCCTTGGATATCTACTTAATTGAGGAAATAAGATGTCATAGTTTATTTCATAACAATATTTCTTAAATACATGGTACTTCCAAGAATACAAGTTTGGTGCGCAAGACACTTAGATCTTGGAGCTGAGTATGAAAGTGAAAGTTAACAATAGTTGGACTGTCGAGGTTCGCACATCCCAGTGGCTTTTTTAATGTTGCTTCTAAAAATTTTGTACATTTCTTTCTGATTCTTCTATGTGCATATTTAATGAAGAGAACTACAAGGGAGTGAAAGTTGTAAGTGCTAATGATAATGCTAAAATCATTGAGAAGATTCACTGTAGCAACCATGATGAGGAAATAGAAACCACGAGTATCATTGATGTTAGATTGTTTCTTCTATGTTTCACGATTGGTGAGGAAATAGAAACCACGAGTATTGTTGATGTTAGATTGTTCTTTTATTAATCTAAATCTAAAGACTTCAATTTTCTTCACCTTTTTTATTTATTTATGGAGAACTTATATTTCATATTTGGATGGGACTTTAGTACTTTTTTATTTGGTGACTTGTTCCTGAATATTTTGGCAGCAAACGTTTTTCTTTCTAAGCATATTCAGAAAATTTACACTTTTAAGTTTGATCATTTCCTGCCATAGTTCATCTAATTGAGTTGGAAAATTACTATTCTCTTAGCTTCTCATATCATAGTATATTTGATCAAACATAACTGCTTCTTATACATGTATGGCTGAGTTTATCCAATAATTTGAATTTTCTTTGCATTATTTCATCTTTTTGAATAAAAATTTCAAATATGCACCAACTTCAGCACGGGTCATATCGATCTAGTATCTATATAAGCAATAGAAAATAAGAGAAAAGTGATATTTAAATATACAAGCATATGCACACACGTACATATATTTTTACTTAGGGCCCGTTTGGCCATACGAGATGGAATCATGATATAATATCATAATATGAAATCATGAGATGAAATTGAAGTTTTGTTTGGACATGCGATATGTAATTTTTGTGTTGTATATTTTCTTATAAACATAAGAATTTCATAAGTTGTAAAACTATTTTAAAATGCCTCAATTGTTTATTCAATCTTATCATGAAATATTTTATATATAAAATCGCATAATAAATTATTACAAAACTATTTGTTCTCCACTTAAGTAATTCTTTCATCTAACTTTAATTCATCAAACTTAAATTCAATCAAAAAATTGAACATAAATTGTAGTGTACTAGTCTTTAATAAAGTCACCTACATAGTACGGACAATCTCCACACGTTGAACTTGCATTTCTCGATCTTATGACCGAGAAGACAAACCAACATTGTTACTTTGAGCTATTTGTTGGTCAATATCATTCGCAACTATATTTTCATGCTCATAGACCATACAAATTTCATCACTCCTTTGATATTCTCCAAATAATTATGTAATATTGTACAAGCTATGACAATGTTGTGTCAATATCATAATGGTTCGTGCATTAATTTCGTGCTTAACTCAAACATATTGGAAGTAGTGATTATCAAACATACATCAGTTTCATATTGAATTGCTTTAAACATTTTCATATGTAGCTGAAAGAGAAGTTTTTTTTATTATGAAAAATAAAAAAAGTATTACTCCCTCTGTTCTTATTTATATTCACCAAATTAATTCCTACTTTATCATTTATATTCACCAAATTTAAAGTAATAATAAATTTTATGTTTGTGAGAATAATAAATTTTAAAAAGTAATGATGTGGTTATAAATTTTATTTACATATACAATAAATGGTCCGTAGATAAAAATGTGGTGTTGTTCTAACAAAATATAAATTTCTGGGTCAATTTTTGTATTTAAAAAATCTCAAATCATGATATGAAATTCCCAAATCATGATTTTTGAAGAATATGGGATTCCATCTCATGATATGAAATCATGAGATGAAATCAGTGAGAAATCGCATGTCCAAACGCTGATTCCATCTCACGATCATGATATGGTATTGCATGGTCAAACGCCTACTTAATCTGTGTATATTAAAACAACAATCATGAAATAATAACATTAGAACTTATAATAAATCAATAAAAAAAATATTCTGCTTATAATACTAACGAACTTAAATTAAAATCTATAATAAAATATAAAATTATTTAAACTACAAATCGAATACCAAGATTAAAAAAATATAATATAAAATTTTATTTTATTTTATTTTATTTTTTACTCGGAGATCGATACCCACATTGAAGTCCAACTATTCTGGATTCGCGCCGAGTAAAACCTCCTAGTTAAGGAAAGAACAACTCTTTTGGTAGTATATCAAAACTATTCAAACATACCACTGGAATTTCATATTTGAGGATATAGTACCGTAGATGATATATATACTGATTGAAAATAAAATTGTACATGAATATTAACTTCCTTTTCTATGTGCAAATAAAATAATTCCAAATTAATCTTTTTTTCTTCTACTAATAATAGTACTCCCTCCATTCCATATTAATTTAAGCTTTGAAGTGTTTCACGTCCTTTAAAAAAAGTAGGTTAGGACATAAATTAAACATAATTTTCCATTTTTACCTTTATTAATTATTGTCAAAAATAACAAAACATTAATTCTAATAACTAATTTCAATACTAACTTGAGGGTAAAATTGAAAGAATATTTTAAAAATAGTCTGGAAGATTGAAAACTTAAGTTAATTTGAAAAATAAAAAATGAATTAAAACTTAAGTTAATATGGAAGGGAGGGAGTATTTATTTTGATGGTGCTTGCTTAATTACAGTTACACCCACGATTTGTTGATTTATTATCAAACCTACCCATAAATCACCAAAGAGAAAAGCGCCACTACACAAAACTGCAAAAACCGCCTCTCTCACTTGAACAACAGCAGCAGCCAGAGCAAGCTATGGGGAAAAGCGATGATTCCATTCAGAGAAGGAAGAATAAGAAGACTAGAAAGAAGCAAGATGACAAGGTCTCTAATCGTATCGCCGGAATTATTGCTGCTAAGAAACGTCGACTCTCCGGCAAACGCCGTATGTGTGAGGTAAATTTCATGTTATATGAACTCACTTTGTCCATTTGGGTGTTGGGTTTGTTGATTTTTAATGTGATATTTCGTTAAGTATCTGGGAATGTTGTATTGACAAATGGGTGTCGAGAAAAGATTATGGAAGTTGTGTGTTTTGAGGAGTTCTTTTGTAAAGCTGTTGATGCGAAAAGAGAGGGATTTGAGGAAGAAAGAGGAAGATTAAGGTTTTGTAGTGTTGTAATGGTGTTTTGAGGAGCTGGGTTTTCTTTATTTGTATGCAAAAGTAGTGTTTTGAGTAGCTTTTTTGTGAAGCTGTTAATGATAAAAGAGTGGACTTTGAGGATGAAAGAGGAAGATTTTTATTTGGTATATTCAAATGGAGTTTTAAGGAGTTGGGTATTCTTTATTTGTGTGCAAAATTAGTGTCTTGAGTAGTTCTTTTTGTGAAGCTGTTAAATGTGAGGACTTTGAGGAAGAAAGTTCTAAAGAATTGTTTTCTTGATTGGTTAGGAATTGAGAAATGTCTTGGAATTCATTTACTTAGTGTGATCTTGTTGGTGGTGTATCTGCATTTGTTTGATTATTGAATACTCCATGTCTCTTTCATTCATGTATGTTCATGCCAGTTACAATCGAAGTTTTGCACTTCTTTTTCGTCATGTGAAACTGCCAAGAGGAAAATTCTGGACTTAGATTAAGTGGTACTGGAATGGATCTACACATTTATAAATATATGATTCCTATTTTAATTTGTCACAACCAGCCCAATGGTGCTAATTTATGTTGTGTTAATTTTGCTGTTTTTTCTTACCTTTCCATCGACAGGGAATGTGCTATAGTTTGCCTACACCTGAGGATCCATTCAATGAGAGGCATGGGAAAGTTGATCTTGTGACGAAAAAGAAGAAGAAGCAGAACCTGTCGAAGAAGGGCAAGAACCCTATTAAGAAGACTAGTTTACCACAAAATTCTGACAAATTAAAGGAAGAGTTCCACATGCATGCTCCATCTAAGTTCTTAATTCTCTGTTTGAAAACCATTCAGGATGGCCTTCAGCAGGATGGAGCCTTCAATGGTGGAGAGGAAAAGCCTTTCTTCGTCCATACATGGGGAATTGAATTCTGGAAATATTTTACCAGTGGCAAAGATATAATTGGTACAAATCAAGCCCATGCTACAACTGAGCAAATTGCTTGGGTTGCAGCAACAACTGCTGATGCCATATCAAGAAAGGAGAAAGAAGGTCTATCAATTAGCAACCCCTTCCTTTTATTCCTTGTTCCCTCCCAAGAGAAAGCTGTCAAGGTTGGTGCAATATTCTCCAAATTTTCTTTGCTTCCATTGTTTGTTATATGTTCAACACAACATTGTGAAAGTTGTATTGATTTCTAATGGTATGGTTGCTAAATACTACGTAGCTATTTTCTTAAGCTAGTTGGACTTTTGATAGCAAGTATTTCAGCAGAAAGTCTTGATTTTTGGATAAAAGGTCCTTAGAAAATCTTGTGTTGTACAGAATTTCTTTATGCATCTCCTACTTCTTTTAGTAAAATGATTAAGATTTATTATCCAGAGCAGTTTATCCTTCTCCATGCATGTATTCTTCCTGTGCTTACATTATAATTTAGGTAGATGTTCACTAAGCTGTAAGTTCATGTGTGAAAATTTATATGGATATCTACATGTATCCTTCTATGCCTTGTGGTATCTTAATAGACATTTCAATCGTTCCTTAGGTGCGGAAAATATGCAAGCCTCTGAAAGCTCTTGGAATACATACAGTGAGTCTGCATCCTGGTGCTTCTATAGACCACCAAATTCAGGGGTATGATTTCCCTGTAACTTCTATATAGTTGAGGCTATTAGTCCTCAAGGTTGATTTATTTGTCTATTGCTTGAAAGATGAAAAATATTTTTTTCAGAATCTTGACTTATTGCCAACTTTCCCCTGATTAGCATATGATTTGTTCTGTTAATAATAAGATGTAGTTATTATTATGGTCGATAAATAATTGTGTGCATGTGCCATTAGCCCTCATTGCAACAACTTCTGGTTGGGTGACTTTACATGTGGCTATGTGTTTCTACTTGCTTGATCTGTAAAAGTAACCTACCTTGGTTTCTAAATTTCTTTTCCTTATTGTATTGGCTCTAGTTGCAATTAGTAACTACTGCTTACTACTTTTTTATTCCCATTTGCTTTTACACATGCTGAGTTTTGTACTTGTGTGCTTTCCAGCCTTCTGTTTTCTTTTGAAGAAATTCACTATCTTCCCTGTTTTTATATGATTACACTTTTTGTTGACAGCCTGAAGAACTGTGAGCCCGAGTTTCTTATTTCTACTCCTGAAAGACTTCAAGAACTCCTCTCACATGGTGCCATTAAAGCTTCTGATGTTTCTTTCCTGGTAATTTTGATTATTTTGCATTTTACTTATGTATTGATTTTATCTTGGATCTTTTGTCCTTCTATCACTGTTTTCGTATTTAGGTAATAGGAGTGAAAGGTGGAAACTGGTTTACTGTGCTCTCTAGTTAACACAAGAACTTCTCTTTTTTCCATTTCCACACAATTTCTAATTTAAAAAAAATTGTTTTGTTATTTTGGCAAAAGTTAGTTTGAGTGCCTAGCAATTTTCTTATTGTCTTCTCTGTAAGGGGAAAAAAGAGAAACAATTTATTCTCACAATGGGGTAAGCTTCAAGAAAGCAAAAGGAATTGCAGAAACAAATTGAAATAAGAACAGGTAAGTGAACACCTTGTGCAAGAACCACAAACTGGCATATAGCTAAAATAGAACGGATCTAGATAGAAAGCAGAATTTGGATAAGGTTTTCCCTGTAAATAGCGAGACAAACTGGCACTCAAATTATGTATTGCTCTGCGGAAAACGAGTAAAGGAAACTAATATAAGCATACAATACATATTTTCCATTTTTAGTGCATGGAGAAAATGAAGGTTTTGAAAGTTTTTCTAAACAACACCAACCAGATTTAAGGGCCTCTTTGATTTGGTGAGCCTGCCTGATTCCATTTAAGTTACATTTTCAGTTAACCACATAATTTTTAGGTGAAAGTAATTGATATTAAATTAGTCATTCTACAATCACTTGTTTCAATAATCAGAATCAAATTTACATCCAAACCAAACAGGCTCTTCATTGGGAACTTAATATCCCTCGAGGACTATCCAGGTTAAAGGCTAGTATTATGGTGGCAGTCTCCAAACGATAGGCATAGATTTGACTCCCACAATTCCTCTTCTCCTTTCCAGTCCCCTACATGATAAAATATCGAAAAACAAAAAATTTCTGTAGGTCTCTCTCTCCTCTCTCGTTTGGTTTATTTCCAATTCTATGGTTGGCATTACTCTGGTTTCCTCTTTCTGTTAAACTTTGACGTTTTCTTGTTATGATCCATTCAGGGTTTTCAACATTTTCGCTTGATTTTTCCCTTTTCTAATTGTGGACAGAGAATTTGGGTCCTGCCTTGTATACTGATTTTAAAAAAAAGTTGAATCTTGCCTTGTAATTGAGATTATTCATTGTTATCTCTTGTAGAGAGATTTAGGATGTTATACTTTTGGCAGTTATGCCACTATCATGTATTCTCTTATTTGATTATATGGTCCAGTCAGACTGGTGTTTGGAGGTTATATTCATGATCTCTGAGATGGATATCAAGATGTATATATGGCATTTACGTCACTAGCATTACGTGTTCCCATTCGGAGATTACTCATGGTAGTCTTTGGATTTCAGGTCATCGATGGACCTCTTACTGAGACAGGTTATGTTGATGCGGTTGAATCCATTGCAAAATCTATTTCTGGAAAGCCACAAATACTGGCTTTCAGTGATTGCTCAAATTCTTCATCCAATTTTCTTATGAAGAAGAGTGTTGGAGAATCAATCTGTAGAATACCGCTTGATGATCCAGTAAATGGTCATAACATGGCTTGAGATATTTGTGCTTCTAAGTTGTCAAAGGTATGTCTTTATCTCTGAAACGTAAATTCTGCACTTCACATTTTAGAGTGGAATACATTAGTCAGTTAAGATATAAGTTGTCGTTTTGGTTTGTTTAATTTTGCAAAGACTCTTTTTACCGTGATCTTTATGTGCAAGAAGTTATCTACTTATAATTTCTAACTTAATGAGAATTTGGATTGTAGCAACTTTATAGTCCTCTATGCCCATCTAACTTAACATAACTTTTGAAAAATTGAGTTTGCTCTATATTGTTCCCAGATCTGCCTAATTACCTAAGCTATCTGTCTTAATGACCGAGGGTACATCGGAAACAACTTCTCTACCCCCAAGGTAGGGATAAGGTCTGTAAATCCCCTCCTCAGATCCCACATGTGGGACTGTACTGGGTATGTTTTTGTTTTTGTTGTAGTTGTCTTAATGAATGGTTTGTGAGTTGTGATATTGGTTCACTACGAGTTATATTTGAACCTTAACAGAGGATAACTGGTAAGATAAATGGGATTAAAATTAATAAGGAAAGGACAAATGCAAGGGGAAAAGGAAATTAAAAGAGAGATGGTTAAAATATAGCAGCTCCTGCACTCGCCACTAGTCAAGCAGACAAGCAGTACTGATCTTTTGGCTTCACAATATAGCAGCTCCTTTGCCCCAAAAATAGTCTAGTTCAAGGTGGAAGCAGCTATATAGACTAGTGTAATCTATTTTACGATCGTGCTATGCAAGCAGAACATAAATATGCTGATGGATCGACAAAAACAGTAGTTGTAGGTATTGACCAGTTGTCTATATTAGATCTTTCTTGTTAGCTTTTAAAGTACTTTGAGTTACGAGTGAGTTACGAGTAAATTTTCCATACTTTTGACGAATGTGCTCCTTTTTATGTTCAACTTCTCATTCATATAGTCTAATATTTGCCTCCCCACTTCTTTCCACAGACAAACGGGGCATGTTGTCCTTGCAGTTGATTACACAGCTTCTTGCGGAAGTAGTTCAAACTCATCATCGTTACAGATCCTCTGGTGTCATTTAACTTGATAGAAGGAAGTTCTATAATAGTAAACTTCTTCCACATCACGGTGCTGCTTCTTTTCACATTCGTCTGCAAAATTCTTTGTTATAGAGTAGATGTATTCGAGATATCTTAGATGGAAGGTTCTTAATGTTGTGTTTGGAGCGGAAGTCAATTGTAACAATGGTGTGTTGTGTTCTGGGAATAGCCTAACTGGAGAATTGCAAGAGATGCATATAACCATTTTACTATTTGAAATCATTTGTTAGTTTCTTATATCATCTCTTTTTTCGTCTATTTGCTCGAGCTTGTTCATGGGGGAACGTAAATGTTTTCCATGGACAATGTTTTACGTTATAAATCATTTCTTGTTAATCTTCAAGCGTTTTCGTGTAGCATCGAAATTTAAAAAGTTTAGCAGACTCGGGATCAAACTTCAGGCTCAAGGAGTTTAGGAAGTTAGACTTAATCAAAACTCAGCGGAGATAAAAATACAAGGTGATTTTGTCCTAGCCTCGATCGACAGTGTCACTTGGTACCTGTTGCTAGTGGGAGATGACAGGTATCCCATGGAACGGGTCGAGGTGTACAGATATCTTCTTGGCAATTGAATTTCATTTTCATTCCAGACCATAAGGAAAAACGAATTGCCAAAAGTACTAGTACTACCTTTTGTTTTAATAAGTTAAACTTTAATATTTTGAGTATTTTATTTTGACTATATTAAAAAAAAAAGTTTGATGCAAATGAATCTTGTGACAATATGTGGATAAATGTGTTACTATTTGTTGTGGCATGAAGCACTCCAAAGTGCACCCAAAAGTCACACGAAATCAATTTATTTTTAATAATATAAAATAAGTTTTAGATATTTACGAGGTGATAACTTCTTTTATTAAGATTAAAATGAGAATAAATGTAAATCCGATATTATTTTTAGAACATACAGAAATAAGAAAGTGTGAATATAAATTGATCAGACTAATGGATTACAATTTACAGACAAATGAATTATTCTCATTTTTTCACAAATATTGTTCACATGTCTTGAAGATACATATTTATATTCTTAAGATTTTTTGAGTTTTATCATTTAAATTCTTTACGTTCTTCATATTTTTCCTATGTATTATTTTAAATAACAATATTATCATATTTTGCAATCTCTAACCAACTTTCAACTAAAATAATTGTAGCAATAATGACTAGTTAGGGGTAGTATGGTTTTTAAAATTTATTTCCTTAGTAAAGTTGAATGAAATACGATTGGCCATAAGCTATCCACGAGCATCATGGTTAGATCAATCCATTGAAGGAGGCTCAATCTACTGAGAGAATGGTGTTATGAATTTGAGATTTTAGTCTTTTAACATTAACGATTTCTTAAACTAGGTTACGATGCAATAATTTTCATTTCTCATATATCTATAATTTGGTTAGATATTTCTTGTATTTTAAAGTTATAGAAGAGGGAGACCTCGTGAACATTATTAACAAGAATCTCGTGAAATGAAAAGACCAAGACTTCTCAAGTCGTACATTAATTTTTAATTTTAATATAAAGTTGTTACTCCTCCGTACCATTAATTTTAACTGTCGTTTTAGTTTTAAATTATTTTTAGTCATATTTTAACATAAAAAGAAGTGTGTACGATATTTAAGAAGAGGAGGAACCTATAAAAGTGACTGAGTTGGTGTAACAGGTGATATTCAATAGAAGGTCAGAGAATCAATAAGTTGTCTATAGTTGACATATGTTCTCTTCATTTTTAAATACTTGTTATTTTAGGTATGAGAGACACGTAAATAGACAAAAAAATAAAGAATATATAAGGAATAGATTAGACAAATTACTCATTTTTATTAATATTTTTTTTATAGCCGTGTAGATACTAAAGCATTCCCTAATAATATTAGTATAAAGACAAAAATTAGCAAGTGGGTGAATTATTAATTCTAATTATTTGCGCTTACTATCCCAATTAAGATGTATATTTAATTTTACAACCTCTTGTTTTTGAAAAGGGTATAATATTTTTTAATAAAGTTATTAATAGTCTTTTTGATTCAAAGATTGATAAATTCTTTAAATTATATTCTAAGCTAACAAGGTGATTTTTCTCTAGTTTTTGACTTTGCTTTTTTTAAAAAAAAAAAAAAGTAATCATAAAATAAGTTATTCATAACTCAGTGACGGCTAACAAAATTTTGACGAGTTGAACCTAATTAATAAATATTATATCAACGAAATACTTATGATTTTTTTTATGGTGTTGGTGATGGTTAGAGGTAGTGATTGTATGTGTCGATTGGGGATGGTATTGGCTAATTGTCGTGTTGTGAATAATAGATTAATTGTCAATGATGATGATAGCTGACAGTAATGATTGATGGTGATAGTTGATGATAGTGATTGATATCTATGGTGAATGATGTGATAGTTAACAATGGAAGTGAATAATGACATGATTAGTAATATATAATGGCGATTAATGATGGTGATTGTCGATAGTGATTGATAGTAGTAATGATATTGGTGATTGATGGTGACGTGTGTAAATAATAGCTAGTGGTAATGTAGGCTAATTAATTTGGTGATGGCTATATATGGCCCAAGACGGTGTTTGGTGGTTGTTGATAATACTGGTTGGCGGCAAGAATAGTTCATACTAGTGTCGAGAGCGATACGTAGATGTATTTGTTGTTTTTTAATAAAGATATTAAAGATATTAAGACGTTACATATCTTAATCATTAAAATTCAGTAAGTGATTTTAACATACGAAACAAGCACACTTAATAGTTAAGATGAACAAGTAAGATTCAAATCTAAAAATTAAATGACTTTAATGATCGAAATTTAAATTACTAAAATTAGGATTTTCATTAAACTTAAACAAATGAAAGTTGCACTAAGAATGTCAATTAAACGTTTGAAAGGCACCTTCAACAGAATTAAAGAAAGCAAAATCAGCAAAATCAGAATTAATTTTTCTGAGAAATTTATAATATGATTTTTGGCTTACAACCACAAGAATTATAAGAAAAAACATTAAAAATTAAACAAATAAATAAAGTAAGTTGGCACACTGAAAATTCCACTGGAATATGACTGTAGAAGTTAATTTTGACTTACTTTGGCTATACGTAATTGAATTTACTTTTTGTGCACTAACAATATATATAATTTTTTTATATTATTATTAGGTTATAATTTTCAGTTTCGGAATCATGCTTTTCGTTAAAGGAATTCAAAATATAAAAAGCAAATACATGAAAAAGTCAAAAGGGATTCAATATTTATTATATATATACATAAACAATTTAATCACATATACATAATGTTATTTTACATTGAAGGGGGTCCGGATGAATCACATCCAAACCCGCCCGCGATCTAAGTGGTATATTTATTTTTTTCAAAAATTAGGGGAAAGGGGAGGAAAATGGGGGAGGGATTCCAAAGTGAGGAATTGAACCCTCACAAATAAGGTGAAAGTTTAGATAATCAATCAACTGAACTATACTAAGATCCTCCATCTAGGTAGTAGATATAAACTCATAATTATAAAAATACAATGAGTTCAATGCTAAGAACTTAAAATTTGAATCTCGTAAAGCTTAAATAATCTTGGATACACGTTTGATTCCAAAAGTATTTATGTCCGGTAAAATTATGTGACATAAATTGAAACGCTAGAGTAATAAAGAATTCCCCTTTCCCCCTCCTCCCCCCTCCCCTTTCTTTTGGCCTACAATACATGAGGCTTTGAGTCTTGATCCATCAAATTGAAAATGATTTTTTAGAGAAACTTAATTCCTAGTATCAACACAACCAATTAGAAGTATATTTTGTGTGTATATAAAGTTCAAGTTTTCAATTTAAATCAATGATCATTATGTGGGGTAAGTTTTTTCTCAAAGGCTCTTTACTTTGTTTCCTCTTAGTCAAGTTTTTGCTTGGCAAATAAGCAAAAATCAAAGGCTTCTTCCCACTAAAACTTAAAGCACATATTGCATATATCATTGCTCTTCTTGTCTTAAAGCAACATTTTTATATCCTTACGCACATTCACTCTCACTCATTTATAAAACCTCATAAGTTTCATTCTTGATACTTGAAACTCTCAACTCTTTGTTATTACCTCTTTAAACGCGACAATTCAAATCGCCTTCCTTATGGACGTGATCTTCTCTTCCTCTCAAGCTTTGTTGAATGCTCATAGTGGCATTACTAGCCATGTTGGATTCATTAGGCAACAACCTAGAACTCCTTTGGTTGTACAATTTCTAAGAATAATTTTATATGTTTGCTTGGCCTTATCATTTATGTTATTTGTTGAAAGACTTTACATGGGAATTGTCATAGCATTTGTAAAGTTGTTTAGAAGAAAACCAGAGAAGAAGTACAAGTGGGAGCCACTTAAGGGTGATTTGGAATTGGGAAATTATTCATATCCTATGGTTTTAGTGCAATTACCAATGTGCAATGAAAAAGAGGTACTCATTTTAGAATAACTTTTTATAGTCGATATACATAAAATATACACATATTTATACACTTGGGGACTATATTTTTTTGTTTAAGCAGTTGGATAGACGACTATTCAGGTTAATTGTTAAATTCTTATATGGTGTTTGATGAATTGTTGCTTTGTAGGTGTATCAATTGTCCATTGGAGCTGCTTGTAACCTTTCATGGCCAGCCAATAGAATTTTCATCCAAGTTCTTGATGATTCTACTGACCCTACAATTAAGGTCCAATACTAAATATGTTCAATTTCTGTATACTCATCGTGTAATATTAGCGATTACAATCATACAGTTAGATCTCTGTATAACAATATTTCACTGTAATAGCTAACCTTTCTTTGGAACCAATTTCTATGTTCTCTATGACAACATTATACGGTTACTACAAAGAGGTTATGTAACCGTTCATAATAAGTGATATTAGTAATTTGTTATAACATGTTAAAATACGCTGATAGTAAAAAAACAACAGGCGTTGGTGGAGCAAGAGTGCAGGAAATGGGCAAGCAAAGGAGTTAACATTAAGTATGAGATAAGAGATAACAGGAAAGGATACAAAGCTGGGGCTCTTAGAGAAGGAATGAAGCATAATTATGTGAAGCTTTGTAGTCATGTGGCCATCTTTGATGCTGATTTTCAACCCGAGCCCGATTTCTTGGAGCGTAGCATCCCGTTTCTTGTGCACAATCCTGAAATCGGACTCGTTCAAGCTCGTTGGGAATTTGGTAAATATCTCTAATTTATGAAAAGTGAAGGGGAGCCACATGTTGGAAATAGCCTCTTGCAGAAATGCAAGGTAAGGTTACGTACAATAAACTCAATGTGGTCTAGTGTACGACCCTACCTCAAACTCGAGCTTAGTGCATCGAGTTCAGGGGTGGAGCTATGTACAATGAAGGGGATTCAATTGAATCCCTTTTGTCGAAAAATTATACCGAGCAAATAGTCAGCATACCGAGGTGATAATTTGGTTTTTGCAGTGAATGCTGATGAGTGCTTGATGACAAAAATGCAAGAAATGTCATTTGGTTACCATTTCACAGTGGAGCAAGAAGTTGGATCTACAGCTCATGCATTTTTTGGCTTCAATGGTAGGCTATCCACACCCAAAAATAATATTAAGATATTACTAATGTTGTTACCGAGGACATTACCCTAGATAGGAGGGTATGGAAGGCGAGGATTAGTAGATTTCTGAGTGTTGTCTAGTTTTCCCTACTACTATCTTAGTCTTCGATTTTATTACTTGTTGTTTCCTTTGCTTTAGTTACGTTTTATTTCTTCATTACTGTATTTTCTCTTCATACTTCTTGGGTCAGGATAGACTGCCTATATCACATCGCCCCGAGGTACAACCCTTCCCTAGATTCTGCATGAACACGGGATGTTTTGTGCACCAGACTGCCCTTTTACTTTCAACTCTAATGCAATATGTAGTTCCCACATAACTAGAGAATTGCTGCAGGCACTGCTGGGGTTTGGAGAATGTCAGCTCTTAATGAGGCAGGGGGATGGAAAGACAGAACAACTGTGGAAGACATGGATCTAGCAGTACGAGCCGGTCTGAACGGCTGGAAATTCGTCTATGTTGATGACCTTAAGGTACACAATCACACATATACCGATTTAAGGATTTAAGTTATATACACTGACGTTGCAAAAACACAATACAAGTATCAACATATTTTAACTTATTGTGAAAACTACAGTATTGGGAAAGACAAAATGATTGGAATTTAAACTTGAAGTTGAAGGATAGACTAAAAATAGTCAAGGAATGTTCTTTCTTATCACATCAATAGGAAGAATTTTTTCATGATAATGGAAATGAAATGATGGTTCTACTATTCTACATTTGAGTTACTACCTATATGTTGCTCGAGCTCTTCAAAAATGACAATAACTACCTGTTTGATCATCCAAAAGTAATGCATTTTTTGGAGGATTTTAACTCTGGTGCGACAACATTTTAGGAGAGTCTGACAAACATAAGTACTATACAACAACAACATATCCAGTGTAACCCCACAAGTGGGATCTGAGGAGGATAGTGTGAACACAGATCTTACCCTACTTTTTTTACCGTGTTAGGTGAAAAGTGAATTGCCAAGCACGTTCAGGGCCTATCGCAATCAGCAACACAGATGGTCTTGTGGACCTGCTAATCTTTTCAGAAAAATGGCAATGGAAATTGCAACTAACAAGGTATGCTATATGAAATTCACTTAAAACATGACAAAATGGAAAAACTCAACAACTAAAACAACAAACTGTTTTTTTCATTGCAGAAAGTTTCTGTATGGAAGAAATTTTACCTGATTTACAGCTTCTTCTTTGTACGAAAGATCATAGCACACGTCGTGACATTCATCTTATATTGCGTTGTTATTCCTGCAACGATTTTCATCCCTGAAGTCCAAGTACCTAGATGGGGAACTATATACATTCCTACAGCTATCACTCTTCTCAATATACTTGGCTCCGCAAGGTTGAGCAAAGAAAAAAGATGAGTTTAACTTGTATTAACATGTATTTTTGGTTTCTTTGTTATTTATGTGTACGCGTTTATTCAGATCAATGCAATTGGTGGTTTATTGGATCCTATTTGAGAATGTAATGTCCCTTCATCGGACAAAAGCAACGTTCATTGGCCTTTTCGAATCAGGGAGAGTCAATGAATGGATCGTGACAGAGAAACTCGGAGATGCTCTTAAGACCAAAAAGGGCTCAAAAGCACTGAAGAAACTTCAGTTTCGAGTTGGAGAAAGGTAAAACCTTCTCCAAATCTTTACAAGTGAAACAGAGAGTTTTGGTAGAACTAATTTGTTATATTGTTTAACATGGCAGGGTACATGTTCTTGAGCTTTTCGTTGGGTTGTACCTGCTGTTTTGTGGGTGGTACGACTATTCGTTTGGAAGGAACAGGTTCTACGTATACCTCTTACTCCAAGCTATGGCGTTTTTCGTTGTTGGATTTGGTTATGTTGGTGTGTTTGTTCCAAATTCTTGATTCAAATTCAGGACTTGTTTTGTTGGTGAAATTTTGGTTTTAAGTTACTAGTTTGTAAAATTATGAATAGTAGCTAGATATTCTTTTATACCACAATGTGTATAAGCAGCTTAGATCATGCTTTATTTGTATTTTTTCTTTTGGTTCTTTTGGTTCTACAATTGATTAATTTCATAGACAAACCTCAGTCGATTCACGTGAACCTAATAGCTTTTGCCCTGAACTATATATTTGTACTAAGAAATTCACTGAATATTCATAAATATAGAATTGTCAACCAAGTTTTTGTTGTATATTAGATTGAAGTTACCGCAGAACCCATAAACTTCAAAACCTGAATCAGCTTCCGAAGAGTCTATAGTCTGTATATTCATACATTTGTCTGGTAAAGAGAAATCCAAGGTCCTACGATAAACGTATACACGAAATCAACATTCATGCAGCCACTCATGCAAATGTTGAAATGCAACAGCAAGTAGATCTTTTTGGGTTTCCGACCCGGTGTCTAGTAAATCCGACTAGATCCGGAGTCGTACCGGATAGTCGTGCTTCAAGACAACTCATACCCAATAGGGCTCGAACGTAAAACCTAATTAAAAGGTCTGCAGTTTCAAATATGATGAATGCACATTTCACACTTCATTTATTTGGGACTTGTCCAATTCCTACAGCCATTTTTATCAGTAAAATACAGAAAACATATTTCAACAACACAAACAGCATCTTAGGGGGAATTTAAATTTATCTATTGAAGAAAATCAAAGGCCTCTATGTCTAGCAAAATGATTCAATTCATGGAAGTCATGAGAAACTCCTAGACTCAAATGCGAAAGAGATAAAGATGGAACTCATACTAATCAAGAAACACAAGCTTAACTGAAATTTCGAGCAGTCACGAATAGGCAGTGACGAAGCCAGGAATTCTAACAAGACTCGAAAAATGTAAAACGTCACGAGTAAGATTTAAAATTGTAAACTAGAACAACCACTATCAGTACACAAGAATCCTCCCTTATGTCAAAGGGATTCAACAATTTATATATAAGCAAGAAAATTCATATTTTTTCCTAGACAGTATTATCTTCTGATGAAGGGGATTCAGTTGAACTCCTCGCGTCCACCTAACTCTGCTACTGGATAAAGGAAGCTCACAAAGGCTATAGACTAAAGACAATGGAACTATCCGGGAGAAGTGTGTTCGAGAGAGAAGCTTAACTAGCCAACAGCTCCCTCCAGAACAAAGTCCCAAATCTAATGTAAGCAGATCCAGACTGCACAAACATATCCATAATCCATTCCAGTGATAACTTGACAACCACAGATTCAGTAACAACATTTAGAGAGTTCAGTGTCACATTTCCGTTGCTGCACATTATTAATAAATCAATATTCAGACTGGATCTATTCAGACACCAAAAAACAAACCAGGAAACATCTGAACAAAACTACATCCAGAATTATCTGGTAATAAACAAATACGGAGGAATCATGCTATTAGCTTCGACTAATTTCCTGGACAAGGCAACAAGAGAATCTACAAAATTGAAACAAGCTCACTATTTTAGAGAAAAGATCATCTCAACAAATTGACTGGACCTGAAAGAAGATGTTTTGTTAACTGGATAGCTGAACTTCTTATCAATTTGATCGTCGTTGCGAACTACCTTTTATGAAAATTTAAAATCAAGACTACGTCTCTAAGGGCATCATACCCTACTTTTATTCTTCTAACTTTTGGTGAATCTTCTCTGGAATTGTCTCCAAAATGTCATAGTGACCATAACCATGAAACAATACGTTAATCGGACTCTCTCCCTCCTTCCTATATTCTTCTCCATAATTTGATATGTTTATTAAACTTCCAGAGCTTCTATCTACCATATAGACAGAAATTGAGGACCTGCAACCAAAAATTAGGAAATATATCAACAAAATCGGACAACAGATTCTAGAATCGAAGCCTTAACCAGCGTCATCCAGAGATCACATAGTACATTGACAAAGTAGTTCCATATGATATCCTAGTAGTTCTTAGAAAAGCAGTTCTCCTACTTGATTTGACTTGAAAGTGATAAAGTGAAAGTGAATGTCGATGGATATATAACTAATACTTCCTAAACACATATGAAGGACCAATTCTTTCCTCATCATACAACAGAAACGATCTTGTCAAATGCATAAACTATGTCACTTCATGCTATCTTGTATTACTAACCTAGCTTAGAATCACACTAAAATGCTCTTTAACTCTTTCTCTTCTCAAACAAAAGTTTATTTCTTTTCTTCATCTTTTTCTCATTAGCATTACTGTGTTTCATCGTGAATTTCAAAACATCAACGCCTCAAAAAACATGTATAGTTGGATTCATAAGTGCAAAGTGACAAGACGATCAATCATGAAACAGAAACATCACTCACTTGAGAACATGAGAAGCCATTAGTAGCTCTGGTTCTCCTCCCCACACATATGGCTTTTCAATTCTTTCTACGTATGCATCAAAATCCCCTTCAATAAACCTATGTAACATAAAACAACACATATTCATAAACATCTAACACTGAATATCGAGAGGAACCGACTATGAAAGAAGTAAACAACATATACCATTCAGCTTCTTTTCGCCTCTTTAACAGCTCATCAACCACCTGTGCAAATGAAAAAATAAAAATAATTTCCGATATCTATATTTTTAATACACACAGCAAAAGTGCAAGAAAATGAAGATACCTGAGCTCTTAATTCATCAGCAAGTTCTCTCTGTCGATTTTCATCCGGAGCTTCCTCCCCATTTCTCAAACAAGCCATATGTGCTATCGCTCTAAATAGACATCTTCCATCCGCTGGAACCCCTGTTACATTCACCATTCAATTTGTTAATTCATCAAGCAACTTGCAATCTTAAACACCCAGAAAAACTCAACCAAATCGCAAATTACTTTATTCCAAATTTGCTCTTCAATTCAATTCTAATAATCCACTCCTCTATCAATCAAATACCAAATTTAGCTATACCAAACTAGTTCCTCAATTCAATTCAAATAATCCACTCTTCTATCAATCAAATTCCGAATTTCGCTATTCCAAATTAGTTCCTCAATTCAAACAATTCACTCCTCTAATCCACATATATCCATTTTTCACAGGAATACAACAATAACAATAATATCCAGTGTAATTCCACTAGTGTTGTCTAGGGAGGCCAAACTGTACACAGACCTTACCCCTACTTCTACCTCGGGAGGTAGAGAGACTGTTTCCAATAGACTTTGCACAGAGAATAATGAGTACAAAATAAATTCAGCAATTATAACAGTATAATAGATATACCAGTGACTCTATAGTTGGCAGAGTTTTGATCATCCTCATCTGAAGAATTTACAACAGACTGTTTATCAATCGGTACAGCTACATCAAAATTAGCATCTGGTAATAGATCAAGAGATGGCGCTGCTAAACACGAACAAACCCCAAACAACAACCAAGCAGAATCAGGATTATGTAACCATCTCGCCGGCCTAGAATCCCAATTCACATTCCACGACCCTTCCCCTTTCTTAGCAAGCTCATAATGATGTTTAAACACCGTATTATTCCTCCGATTTATATCCTTCTTATTCCTCCTCCCAGCAGGAAGAATCGCATGCCATATCGACGCTGCACCACCACCTCGATTTACAGATGATGCAATACGGCAATGAATCGAATGATTCCGCCTCTGATCTACTCCCGTTCCACCTCCTCCTCCACTTCCACCTCCAGATATTAACAATAACGATGATTTGTTAGCAGTATTCGTCGCAATAAGTCTGCTATAACCCGAAGGCGTTGAGCCGTGGGCGTGTGATAAGCAGAGTGATGCGAATAGCCAAGGCTTAGGACGTGCACACAATACTCCGAGCATCACCGGAACTTTTTTTTTTCAGATTTTCGTATTGAACAAGAAATTAGTATGAGCTAAATTGGGCATTTCTCAGAAGATAGAGCTTGCTGGTATATATTATGGATGATGAAGATGAAGATGAAAATGCATCTGTTCAGTGGTGACGGCGAAAACTAAACCAACTTTTTTAGTGAGAGAAACAAATGATAAAAATGAGGGATTTTTAGTGAGAGAAAGTTTTGTGTAGGACCTATTTAAGCATGAGGTATGCGCTCACCTATTTATGATTCCAGATTGTTCTATTGGCCGTGCGGCTCGAGCTTTTTGACTGCTGTTTCCCGAGTCGAAATTAATTCGAGATCGTTTGATAGGATATATAAGAAATTTTTAAAAAAAATTTAAGGAATAAGTAGTTGAGTTATTTTTTTTTATAATTTAAAATATTTTAAATTGTTAATTATGATGATTATATGTAGTTTTTATATTTATAAATTTTATTTAGGAAAAACTTAAAGATTTATATTTTAATTTATGATTAAAATTTTGAAGTTTGAATTTTAAAATTTTAATTATGTTGGTATTAAATATGGTGTATTGTAATATTAGAGTTAGTATTGTTGAGATTAGTTTTTATTTATTATGAATACTTTTTAAGGACTTTAAGGTTGATATTACTAATATCATAAAATAGTAGTACTACGTAAAGTCTAAAACTAATAAAAATATAGTATTGTATATTATGAGTAATAACAATAATATTATTTTCTCAAAATCTTTTTCACATCCTTTCGATCATATTTGTGGAGGATATTTTTGTGAACGAATATTTGAAAAAAATTTATGCAATACATGTTAATTTTGGTCCATCAAATCATTCACCGCATAAAAAATCATAGTATAACTAATATAAGCATTACTAATATATTACATTTTTTATTATTATTATCATGCATCGTACCAAACGAACGTCATGTCTTTCTATCAATTCAAATTAATTGAAGGGTAAATTAGTCATAAGAAAAAGTAGTTGCTTCAAAAGGGCGCTTAACGAATATTCTCTGGAGTGAAAAATGCTTTGGGTTGTTGAAGTTCGTACACAAAACTTATAGGGAAATTTCATGTAGCTTCCAATAATTTAATTACACGTGGCTTAAGATTATTTTTTATTGTGGGGATATATTACTTATTTTTTTAAAAAAAATGTTTAAGAAAAATAACACTAAACCTCACTTCTAAAAAAATATATAAAAAAATATCATGATCTCTTTAACGTTTAGTGACATATTTTTTTATGAGTTATTTTGGAATCAATTAAATTACTCAATCACTTTATATTTTTATCTTCGTGTGTGGCCTAAAGGGTCATCGATGCAAATATAATAAATATAAGATAACTGTCTCCATTTTATTTACATATGGTGATATTGTTCCAATCCGGACTTTCGGTAAATTTGAAATGATAAAAAGAAGATTAACATGATCTATACGCAAGGATAACACACAAATTGAGAAATGATTTAAATTTTTAGACCAACAAAGGTTGTGATGTAGCAGTAACATTGCCTCCCAATAGTGTATGATTCAGATTTAATCGGAGCTTCAATGCGAGCTTCGAACATCGATGGAAAAATATAAAAATGGATTAAACACGAACTTTCAAATATTATTCATATATTAAATAGGTTGTACTTTGTATTAAGTTATAATATAATGGAAAATAATTTTGATATAAAAATCCTAAATTTTAAAAATGGAATAGTTTAACAAAATTAAAAAGTGTAAAAAGAGAATGGTCAAATATTGCCAATTGAGATGGAAGATGCAGATTACTTTTGAATTTGTCATTATTTGTTTCTTAATTTTCATGATATTATACCAAATGTCATTTAATACGGGATGGACACTAATATCTAAGTATCAAATCGAGTTAAATTAAAAAAAATCGAACCAAATTAATTATTTTGATTTCATATTCTATATGCATTAGTAAAGATTAAAGATAGAAAAAACAAATTAAATCAAAAAATCTAACGTTCATTTCTACACGTATGAGATCCAAACAATACCATAGAGTTCTAGTTCACCTTTTAAATAAATTTTAATTTGACTGATTTATACATTACTCAAATTATTAAAATTATGTCGTTTATATATATATAAATAATTATGTAACCAAATTTTTCCTGTTATTTTTTCTTCTATCGTGGCCTTTCATGCCACAGAAAAAAAAAATTATTTTTTAAAATTAATAGTCAATAATTATTAATTGGTCCTGATGCAAAGAACAAGACTCCTCCAGAAGTTTTAGGATAAATGGAACAGCGTGACACTTGACGTATGACTTTGAATATATACTTCTATTAAGAGTAAGTGGTAAAAATTTGTCATGTACTAACTTCTTATTTTAAATTTTTCATTCGATATTGTGTCGGACTAATTTGAAATTCGCGTGGAAATTTTTTTTATTGACGACAAAGTGCTTCTTAACAAAAACAATTGTATATCTATTTTTACCAATCATTTGAGTTATTGTATTCGTAGAAACTTGTGGATAAACTTTGTTGAGTCTTCTCAACTTTCATTTATAGCCAGCTTGTCGACTTATTATATATAGGGAAAATTGTACATAATGGCAAACTATTAATTCAAATTAAATGGTATAGTCACACTTTGATTTAATTGTGTCCTGTAGCAAACTGTTTGCCAGCGCCTCTCTCCCTCAAACTCTCGCTCGCCACTCTCCTCTCTCGCTCACTCCCTCTGTGCTCACCTCTCTCGCTTTATACAACATAACTGTATAAATTGTGTTTCTGTTTGTATAAAGCGAGAGAAAATTGTATATACACATGCAAATACATATATATTCGTCCTATACACTTATAATTATACAATAAAAATATTCCCCTGCCCAGTTCTCTTTTGTCTTTCTCTCTTTCTCGTTTTATACAACAGAATTGTATAAATTGCGTTTCTGTTTGTATAAAGCGCAAGAAAATTGTATATACACATGCAAATACATATATATTCGTCCTATACACTTATAATTATACAATAAAAATATTCCCCTGCCCAGTTTTATGCTTGTATAATGTATAATTTATGTTTGTCAACGATTTATACAAACGAGAGGCTAACAACAATTTATACAAATGGTCTGCCAGCGAAATTATACAATTCTGAAGAAGAGCCAACGAATTATACAATTGCTTCTTTTTGTATACATGTATAGCGAAATAGACAGCTTTCAATTGTATATGTATAGTGAATTATACATATATATGTTTGCTATGGAGCGCAATTATGCAAACTTTGCTATAGCATACAAATATGGTTTTTTTTTTTGCAATATGTGAAAGTTGCTCTTATATATATGATTTCAGTTGTATCTTTGTAGGCTTGCTAGATCTTTATCAGGTAAGTTGTCCTTGTTTGTCTTTTGATTATGTAATTTATATTATTGCGATCTCATCGATCCAGTTATTTTCTTTCAATAATTGAGTGTGATGGCCTTGTTGGTCCTCATTGTTCTCTTTCTATTATGTTTTAATGACAAGTGTTGATAATGTCACTCTGAATTTGAGGCCTACTAAAAATTGAATCTGAAAATCTCAAATTAAGGACTAAGGAGTATCACTCCACCAAGACCTCTGGTTGGTGTAGTATACTACTACAATTAACTATTAAGCAATTTTGATATTCATTACATTTTTTATCTAATATTATCATGACGTTAAAGTAGACTCATTTTTTACTTTAACCCTTGATCGAGCTCGTACTTTAAAGACAATTTTAAACTATAGGAAAAATTGCAAGGTAAATTTACATATATATTTTTCTCAATTGGACATGTGTAATCCATCTTGGACCTAAGTTTATGATAGGGAACAAATATGGAGTGATTTACTGATAATAAGAATATAATTTGTTATAAAGTAAAATAATAAATAAAATAAAATGATTTTGAGTAGTACAACAATAAATTTGAATCTTTTCATTTAATAATAATAATAATAATAATAATAATAATGAAAAGTAACTTTAATTCTCAATAAAGAAAAATAACTTTAGGGATGTTGATCTTAATTAAAAGTCAAGACTTTCGAAAAGAGAATATACTAAATAAAATACAAAAATAGATTATTTAATGGTGTAGAAAGTTTGAACGTGGACAATTATTAACAGCTAAGTTTGCTTAACAAATATCGGTAGCAATTCAAGTTATAGAAAAAGGATGTAGGTCCAAACCATACAAAGGGAAAATGAGTGATGTTGACAAGGATCAACAAAAAAGGATGCGGGACAACAAATGAGATTATGCTTTTTTTTAATTAGAAGTTTTAATTTTAAGTTATGAATATAAAAAATTTGATAGAACATGCTTTCATAAATAGGTTTTAGTAGCTGAAAGATTACCACGAGTAAGTAAATTTGAAGAACCGAAGGTAGCTAGGGGCTGATTGAACGTAATGAATTGTTAAATCATGCTTTCGTTTTTCACTAAAAGCTTAGCCTAGAGTACTCAACCCGTTACTCTGAAAGGAAGTTTGAGCTCGATGCAAATGACTAAAATATCACCTGCTTTATATATTATTAATTAAATAAAAAATCATAATAAAAATCTAAATTAATCACGTTTCAATACAAATAAAAAATACCGAATTAAACAATTAAATAATAAAATAAAAATTGGTGTCATTAAAGATGTGGGGGCATCAAATGAGATTATTTTCCCCTTAATCAAAGATTTTGATATTTAGTTATGAATATATATATTATTTTTTGATAGAAAATACTTTCCTAAATAGGCTCTACATATCACAAATCAAACAAATTATGCTTCAATATTAAAAATAAAATTGATGTTGACAAAGATATTGTTCCAAATATTACTTGGCAAAGTTCAATACCTTCACTACGAGGTTGCTAAATGCTACTTTTTCTCTGACCAATACTTCTTTCTGTCTTAAATTATTTGTTGGATTTTTTTACACGTTACTTAAATTACTAGCTAAGAGGATTTTTAATTAATTTATTTTTTGCTTATATTTTAACTATGTAATTTTACTTCATTAAATATTCGATTGAGAAGTTTGTAAGATTTAAGAACAATTCCTATTAAGAATAAAAAAATTAATTAATTGTCATGAACCTTTAAAGTAACAATAATTAAAAATAACTTTTTTTAGAAATCATAATAGATAATTAGAGAAGAAGGGAGTCAAGCTTTAAAATTTTCTTATTTTGGAAATTCGTTGTTTGTATTTT